AAGGAAGCACCTTGTTTTTTGGACACCATATACATCAGGGATTTATGTGGCATGAGCTCAAAGAAAAGTGGGAAAATAAAGAGTAAAGCAGCACTCTGAATATGCATAACAGTAACAAAAGAGTTCAGGAGGACAAGGAAAAAGTACTTAAGAAGAAATCGGGAATTTTTTTTTTTTTTTACTCAGAAGCCACCTGAAGTTAAATGTACTGTTTCAGTTGCACCTTTGCATGGGACAAATTGTCAGAGCCTGGAAGGTAAAGAGAGTTCAAAACATGATGAAAAGAGCATCAGCATGATTATGCAATGACATGAGCAGCTCAGGAGCAAGCAAATGGACACAGGGAGAGCAAACAAAACAGTCCCAGCCAAGCCAGAAGCGAACAGGGAACTTAATGACTCTCTTGGAAACTTCACCACATCGAACCAGCGTGTCAGGAATTATTTTAATGCACATCATTGAGCAAACTGTTTAGTGTCATACGGCAGTGTTAAGCGCTTTGCACTATTAACACCTTGAATTTATTAATTCCAAACCGGTATTTGTGCTTTCTCAGTTCTTTAGTCAATCTTCTGCTACAGCCCAGGGTGTGCTGCGCCTTCCTGGGGCTCAGCAGTTTTAAGAGTCACTCACATGTTCATCCACGGCCTCAAGCTGGCTCAGCAGCAAACCTGCACAAACTACAGGGGTGTTCCAACTGGACTGCAGCCAAGCCCTGCCACTGCTGTGGAGGGCAGATCCTGGCCCTGAGAGAAACCCCTGTGTGCCTTCCCCCAGAATAAAAGTGCCCGTTCAAAGCTCGGTGCGAGATCTGAGGGCGGGAACGCGCCCGTCTGCAGAGGAGCCCAAGTTGCATAACTGATTTCGGTATTTAGTTCAAGCAGCTTTTAAAAATCTTTACAGGTTTAAAATAATTACAGGGTATTAATTAGTGCACTTTTGCAGAGGCACAGATTCAGCCCAAGTGCATGGGAGAAACTGGGCAAAAATAGTCCTGACGAGCCTGATTTACCAGGCTCGTACAAGACAATCTTAACAGTTTTATTCTCATATATTTTATTGTCTCCCAGAGGGAAAACTCCAGATAAACTCTCTCAAGGAGCACACAACCTGTAATGCGCCCTTGTAATAGTTTAAACAGGATTTCCAGCCATCCACAGCGATGAAAAAATAATGTCCCTGCTTTCATGACGTCCCCCACTCCCACCACACCACGGTGAGCACAGCAGCATGAAAAAAAACCACTTGTGGGCATTCAGATGAGCCCTAAAACACGTTTTTATACTCTCCACTTACTGCCAGGCTGTCTCTTTATAAGTTATATTTAGTTTCTTAAAAAACAATACCCCAAAAAACCCCAAACCCAAACACAGAGGGAAAATAAGGCCCCCTAAAAAAGACTGCAGCAGTTTTCTGTGGGGTGGGGGTTTCTGCAGCAAGTTTCTGTGGGGTGTTTACTTGCTCTAAACAGAGCCAAAAGACTAATCAGAACATTTTGGCCAGGATACAAGAGGCAATTCTGCTTGACAGATATAAATTTTAAAAAAAAATCCCGGGTCAAGAGCAACAGAATAACCTTTTCTCTTCAGCTGCTCAGAGGTCCCATCCCACCCAGAGGTGTTTTCCAGGGAAGCACCTACTTGCTGTCTGTCCTTTTGTTGTAAAGGAGGAAGTCGGACAGGTCGTGCCACACCTCACTGTCCTCGTACAGGTAGGTCATGGAGGACTGCAGGGAGGGCTGCAGAGTCTCTCTGTGGTACTCGAAGAGCCACAGCACTGTCCCCCACACCAGGGCAGCCACGAGGGGGAAGGGATCCTGCTTGGGCTGTGGGATGTAGCCCTTCTCCACAGCCAGCCGGGACAGGCCGAACAGGATCCGCGACAGCAGGTACATGATGATCTGCAGGGGAGAAACCCAGAGAGCTTTGGGTGAACAACCTGAGCTCACACACCAGCCAGGCTGAGATTTAGAAGCCCTAATCCACCCAAAGGGGTGGACACCAGCAGTCTGTAAAAACCACAGGTGTTTGCTGTCTTCTCAGCATCCTCAAAGTCCTGCTTCTCTGCTGCTGCTCTAATTTAGCAGCCAACAAGTTAAACTTGATGCAACCCATCTTTGCAGTTGCACAACTCTTGTCTTCGCTCAGTTAGTGCCACCTCAGAGCAGCCCCAGAGCAGCCCTGCTCACCTGCCAAGCAGACCTGAACTCGGGAGCCTGGACACAGCCTAAAACCAGGCTCAGGAACACTTTGGACCAATCTGCATCTCTGTGTTTTATTCGTTAATCTGTGACTGTGTGTTAAGAACCATCTTTAAACCCCGTGTCCCCTGAGCAGCTTTTATCAGTTTAACCTGTTTTAGTTGTCACAGAATATTCTGAGTTGGAAGGGACCCACAAGGATCACCAAAGTCCAAGTCCCTGTCAGTTTAACCAGTTTAGTTCAGTGCAGCTCAGTAACTGATCATGTTCCACTCTCACAGCACTCAAATTAAAGGGTTTAACCCTGCAATGGGCAGACCAGGAGCACAGTCAGTGACCACAGCTCAGGTGACAGCTGGGATAACTCAAAAGCTTTGGGTGACTTGACTGCCTCCCTGGGAATTCAGCGCAGCTCTGGAGGTAAACCTGAGCTTTTAGCCCTCCAACTGCTCATGAAGGCACACAAACCACCTCTGGGATTGGAGAGCAGAGCAGCCAAAACAAGGGTCTGTGCAAAGAACACGGTGAAAGAGTAATTGCTGCCTGGTCAGCACCAGCAGGAACAAGCCACCAACCACCCCCTGGCACACCTGCTGCTTTTCCTGGTCAGAGAAACTTCCAGCGAGCGCATTTACCTGGCTGTTGATGGGATTGTTCTCACCAAACACCAGCCAGCCCCCAATGCAGGCTGCAAGGAAGGCATGGAATGGGATTTTCTTCCCCTGCAGCCGGGACTGCAAGGCCATGAGCCCCTTGTAGGTGAACACGAAGTAGGCCAAGTTCCGGGAGTGGGCGTAGGTGGCCTGAGCAATCGCCTTCAGCTTCTCCCTCAGACTGAGGGAAAGGAACAGACAATCAGGTAAGGGAAAAGGCAGGACCCCCTGCACTGACCTCAGCCTGGTCACTACACCCCTCACCTATACCGACAGCTTGGGCATCCCGTGGAATATCTTGCGAGGGAGGAGAAATCCCCTCACCTCCGGCCCCCCAATGAGAGCACAGCCCTGCCCAGACTGGAGGCTCATTCTATGAAGAGTCAAACAGCCCTTTTTTAAAAAAAAATGTTTGCCTAAATGCAAACCTCTGGCACGAGCAGGGAAAGCCACAATGCGCTCTGCCGTACTCCCACCTTCCCACGGGGAGCACAGCTCTGCTGTTGGCACCTTCTAATTCCTCCCCGCCCACCGGTTCTCATCAACCATCCCGTGAGTGGTTAACCCCCCAACTCTGTAAATCTGTGTGTGCTTCACTAACAGAACAGGCTCAACCGTGGCTCACGTACATTTCTCCTTTTTATCCCCCCCCCGGAAAAATGAAAAACAGACAGAGGAAGTGAAAACATTCTAAGCAGTGACTTAAAAAAAATGCAAGAATTAGGGCTCGTACCTTCCACTCTTGAACAGGAAAGTCATCACCAGGGCATGAGGGGCACGGATTTTGGCTCCATAACTGCAAGAGCGGGCAGATACTTCAGAGTTTTTGTATTACACTACGAAAAAATTGCACTTGTGACAGACTAAAGAGATCATTTAATAAATACTTGTTATTTTCAAGCCGACCCAGCAGCAGCAGCACAAGAAGCCGGGAGAAGCCCAGCCCGACGGGGGAAGAGCACACGCACCACAGAGAGCCGGGCCCAAAGGAGACCCCAAAACCAGTTAAACCCACTCTGAATGCAGCTGAGAGAGGCGGAACCACCTCCCCCGTTCCCCCCGCTCCCGCATCCTCGGCCTCCCACAGAGCGGGGCGGGCCGACACCCCGCACCCCCGGGGCCCGGCACTCACACGGCGCCGTTGCGGAAGCCCTTGATGACGGCGAGGCGCGGCGCGGTAGCGGCGCTGCTGCAGGAGCGCGTTGGCGGCGCGGAGCAGAGCGCGGAGCGGAGCGCTGAGCGGGCCCTCCCCGCCCGCCATGGCCCCGCCGGCCATGGCACCCCCGCCGCCCGCCGCTTCCGGGGCCCGCGCCCCACCCGCCGCGCCCATTGGCTGCCCCGCCTGTCCGTCACCGCGGGTGGAGCCATCTCAACCGCTCATTGGCTCCGCAGCCAATGGTCCCGCCCATACCGCTCCCTAAGGGCGCCGCTGAGGGCCCGGCCCGGCATCACCCGGTCATGGCGTGGGGGTCGCGGCGGGAGCACGAAAGGGGTGGGGGTGGCCATGGCACAGCACCTGCCCGGCCCCCGCGGGCTGTAGCGGCGGCACCGAGTTAAACGCTCCCTCCCTCCCCACAAAACCGGCCCCGGGGCCGCCCCGCCCCTCCCCGCGCTGAGGGCGCGCTGCGGGCGGAGGGCGCCCCCTGGCGGCGCGGGCGCTGCCGCCGCCGCCGCTCCAAGATGGCGCAGGCGATCTTCGAGGCGCTGGAAGGTAACGGGGCCGCGCCGGGGCCGCCCGGGCCGCGCCGCCACCCCCGGCCTGCGCCCCCCGCGCCCCCCGGGCTCCCGCTGCCCGCCGCTGCCGCCGCCAGGGGCGAGGGGCCGCGCCGGGGCCGCCCCGCCAGGCCCGGCCCGGCGCGGCGTGGGGCGCTGGCGGCAGCCCCGGGCTGTGCCCCCCGCACTCCCCGCGGCGGGGACGGTGCCGCAGCCCGGGGATCGCCGCGCCCCGATCCCTGCCGTGTCCCTGTCACCTCCGCACCCCCCGGGCTGGTGCCGCCTCCTGCCCGTGCGCCGGGACGTGCCCGCACTGCCCATCCCCGTGCCCTGTGCTCCGCGTAGCCCTCGCTGGCCACGCACGGTGTGCAGCGCAGCCCCTCCCTGCCCCCGGGCCTGATACCGCGCGGCACCCCATCCCATCCCCTCCCACCGCATCCCTGTCCCTGTGCCCGCTGCTCCAGGTCACTGCATCGCATCCCTGTGCCCCGGAACGCTTCATCCCATCCCTGTCCGTGCGTCTGCTGCTCCAGGGCACCCCATCCTATCCCATCCCTGTCCCTGTGCCCGATGCCCCCCTTGCCCTCCCTGCCCCTCTGCCCTGCACATCAGGATGCTCCCACTCCCCCCGTCTCTGTGCCCAGGGAACAGGATCCCCAGTCTCTAGGACACCCTGTGACTCTTCCCCCTCCCATTGCCCCCTGTCTTTGTGCCCGGCGCTCTGGGACACCCCCTGCATGCTGGGGTCCCCCATCCTCCCCACACCCCGGGGCTCACGCTGCTGTGCCACGCTCCCTGCCAGCCCCAGGGAGTGCTGGCCCCTGCATGTGTGTATTTTGGGGGTGCCTGTGCTCTCTGCACAGCCCAGGCTGTGCCCATTGTGTGGGTGAATGGGTTGTGCTCAAATTCATCTCAGTTTGGCACTGGGACACTGTCACAGGCAGGTGCCATCCCTGGGGACTCCTGGATGTGTCGAGCTGTGGCAGTCTGAGCCTGTTGGGGGAAAATGTATTTCCCAGGCATTGCTTTCCTAAACTGGATTATAGATGTAATTTTTTTGTGTGGGGGCACAACTGACTGGAAGGCCTGACTTCAGGATTGTCACCTGTGCCTTTCAGACATCCCCTGTGATCGCAGCAGCAGAGAGAGGAGCAGAGAAGAAATATTTCTCTGTTTTGTGAGGTTACTCGGTGCATTTGGCAGCACCCTGTGCAGAATCAGGTCCCTGTTTCCTCTCTGCCACCACCTCCTCATGGTGTGAGTTTCCTTGCAGAGCTCGGGAGAGCAAAACTTTTTAGCAAATTTTAGCAGCTTTTGGTATCTGAGCCTTGTTTGTTTTGTCTTGTTGATGTGATTACAAGTGAATGGTGACTTGGCATTTGTGTGGATGCTGAGAGCAGGCTGTGGGGCACGGGGGCATCTTCACCTGTCACCAAAGCACCTGGTGCTGGCGTCAGCAGAAAAGGCTCAATGCATGATGGAAAAATAGCACCTGGGTGAAGTGGACACTCTTGTTTCATCTCCAGCTGAGAGGAATTTGAAAGGGGAAAAAAAAAAAAAAAAGGCACAAATCAGCAGTCCTGTACTTTTATCCCAGCTTCCCCCAATCACCCTGGTGTTGTCAGGCCCTGGGCAGCTCAGCTCCTGCTGTGCCAGAAGTGGCTGATTTTTTTAAGTTTTATGATTGCTAAGAGTGTCCTGCAGACTGGTGCTGGCTGCAGGCAGGGCAGGCTCCATCCAAAGGTTTCTCCTGGAAGTCTGTGGATGGGTGAGAACAGCATCTGCTTAACCAAGTAACTCTGCCAGCTTGTCTTTGTGGCTTACTAACCTTGACCTCAGGGGTTTCCCTCTGGGAAGTGTGGTGGTGTGCAGTTACCCTGGGAAACGGGGACTCTGGGGGCATTTGCCTGAATTGCCAAATAAATAAGGGCAGCGTATTTGTCTTGTCCTGGGCCTATTTTCCCCATCAAGAGGCTGAGTGCAGCATTGACAATCTTGCTGCATCATTGCCTTCAGGTCTTGGCCTCTCCTCAAGCTTCTTCCTCTGAAGGGGATCAAGTCTTTCGGCTTTTTTCTTTGGAAGATCTGACTGTGTGCCAGAGAGAAACCCAGCTGTCCAGTGCCAGGCCCATCGAGAGTGGCACCCTTGGCACAAGCTTATGAATTATCCCCATTCTATACTTACCCTGAATTTTCGATCCCTCTTTTAGCTTATTTCTGCTGGAGAAGGGCTGCTCCATTTCACCCTCTGGTGTGGCTGTGCCAGCAAGAGCCTGCAGTGCTGCCCTTGCAGTTGCCCAGGGGTCACTAGAGGAGGTGTATTGTGGAGCAAGGCTCGGGATCCTCCAGGAGCATTCCAGTGGTGCTCTCCTGGCGGGGCTGATCTGCAGGGCTGGCTCCAGCTCTCCAGGCAACACAAGGCTTGCAGAACTGGACCTGCAGCTTTGCTGTGCCTCCCTGTGATTGATGTGAGAGGCTTCCCGTAGGCATGGTGGGAATTTTGTGGTAGTGTGTGATGCAGTGGGATCTGCTGCTTTCCAGTAGCTGCTAATGCCCTTGGAGGACAGTGCTCTGCTCCCTCCAGGCACATCAGCAGTGTATGTGACCTCTTCTCCTCGGTGAAATGATGCAAAAGTTGTTCACAGGGTCTCAGAAGCAACTTCACACTGGAGACACCAGAGAAATGAGTTTTTAGGGTATCTTTAAGAGGCTGTAGATTATATGGGTATTCCCCGTCAAGAAGGGAACATCCCAGTTGTCCAGGAGAAATTTTAGAATGGCAAGAGGAATTCGGAGTGGTGGGTTCTCCTGCTGTGCTGGGATCTGCCACGGTGTTCCACTGTCCTTCCTGGTGCTGTTCTCTTCTTGGGAACAGTCCTCACCTCAGGAATGGTCTGCACCTCACTGCTCGGGAATAATCAGACCAACAGAACTGCTTTTACTGGGGCACATAGTTCTGAGCTCAGAGCTTTACAGTTTTAGTTGGCAAACAATGTGAAGGAAAATGAAAAGCAACTGAAGGAACTCCCCACTTGTCTTCTCTCCCTTAATCCACAAGGTATCACATACAACCCTGCCATGCTATTTGTTTTATTTGTGGGTTCCTTGTCGTAAAGGAATGGTAGGGAGGAGTGGAGCATAAAAATCCTCAAATCAAATTGTCCTTTACATCTGATTTCTCTAAAGAAAGAGTGTCTCAGGCTTAACCCACTGGTCACGTGCTGCTGGCCAGGTTATCTCCCCAGATGGGCAGTCCCCATCTCCTGTATTTACCTGGAATATTTTAGAACATTTTAGCTGTAGTGAAAAATGTCTGTTCCAAAGAGAGTAAGCTGATTCTGACAACAGATCTGACTGGGGGTGTGTGCCCTGGGTCTGGTCAGATCTGGAAATGCTGGCCTTGAAAACAGGGAGGCATTTCTAGCACTGCTGCTGAGGGAGCTGCTGCACACAAGGATTTTGTCTGTGCTGTATCACGCTGTGTGTCCAGGCAGATCCACCCAGACTGCTGCTCTGTGACATCCCAATACCTGCTTTTGAGCTCTTGTTGTAAGCATCCTTCCTCTCTGCAGCAAACCAAGCCCTCTTCTGGGTTTCTTGCCCTTCTTCCCTTTTCTTCCTGTGCCAAAGCAATTATGGAGAGAGGTGGGAGCATTGCTGCGGTGGGATGGTTGATGCTGTGGAGTAGAGAGAGGGTGAGAAGCTGAGAGTGGCTCTGTGGGAGGAGAGAGCAGCAGCTGCAGAGTTGCTTTCCTCCATGACTTGGGAGCAAGCTCCCAGTGCCCAAGCACTCCATGTCTGGCTGGGTTCAATTCACCATCCGTGTTTGTGTCTCCTTTCAGGAATGGATAATCAGACAGTGCTGGCTGTGCAGTCCTTACTGGATGGTCAGGGAGGTGTGACGGATCCATCGGCTCAAAATGTCAACTCCTCCAGCGCCATCCAGCCCATGGGTGAGTCCTGGTGGCACTGGGAGAGAGAGGAGAGGGGTGGGAGTGCTGCACATCCCAGAACAGCTGGATTATAGGGGCTGCTACAGGTGTTGGGAGCCCTCAGCAGGACCAGAGCAGGAGAGAGCTTTTGGAGATGGTCATGACAACAGACTTGACCATGTGCTTCCAATAAAGTCACAAAGGGAGGGAGAAGCCACACTGTCTCCACCACTCCTTGTTACTGTTCACATTTTTTATTTAATTAGCCATTCCTTATCCCCTGGGGATACTCCAGCCCTGGAGTATCTCATCTGTGTGAATGAATATGGGAACTGGTCGTGCACATGGACACTCACAGTGCTTGACTAGGACTTGCTGGGTGGACACCAAGTTATCCTCCAGAGGATTTACAGTCTGTGTCCCCAAAAATGTTCTGCTCCAGGCTGTGAATCAGGAGAAACAGCCTTGTGAGTCCAACTGGATTGTTTACAAGTGGTGTGTGGTTTGCTAACCCTGCAGATTTCAGCTAGGACATGTAACTGGGTTGTCTTCTTTCTTCTTTGGGTGTCAAAAACCATCAGTCCCATGGAAGGGTGGCTTTAGGACACAAGCTGACAGTGGCTCTGTGCCTGATCCAAGTTACTTCTCTTCCTTTGTGCAACCTGAGTAATAAAATCTGCCTCAGCCAGCACAATTTTGGTGCTTTGGGAGAAGCTGCATTGACTAAAAACAGAGGGTGCTTCAGGAGCCAGGCTGGGTTGGTTGTTCCTGTCTTTGGGATGAGAAGACAAGCAATGGGATTCAGTGTGTCCCAGGGAGATGGTGGGTTTTGTACGTGGGAGCAGGGCTGAGATGGGCTCAATCCCATCAGCTGTCTTTAGGGAGAGCTTGGGATTGTGGAGGAGGGACAGCTTGGCCCTTGCAGCTGATCTCTCTGGATGATGATGTCCTTGAGGTGCTGAGATCCAAAAGGGGCCAGTTTTCCTACCTTGTGGTTGTTGGGTGTAGCAGGGGGAGGCCTGGGGCAGCGTTCTGACGCTCTTCCTCGCAGATGACGAAGACGTGTTCCTCTGTGGGAAGTGCAAGAAGCAGTTCAACTCTCTGCCTGCCTTCATGACCCACAAGAGAGAGCAGTGCCAGGGCAGTGCCCCGTCCCTGTCCACGGTGTCTCTGGCCACCAACAGCGCGTACACCCCGTCCATCACCTCGGTGCCGCAGGCTCCGAGCGCCGGCCGGCAGGTACCGAGTGCAGGCAGAGCCTCTCTGCTCTGCTGCTGTGCTTTTGGGAGGGAGGGACTTGGGGGTGAGGCTTTTAGATCCAGTGGTGACCTCTTTTCTAGGAGGCTCAGTTGTGGTCCTGTTGGCTTCTCACCTTGTGGTTGAGGTGAGGTCCTCTGCAGCGAGGTGTCCTCCAGCACCAGAGTCTATGACAGCCCTTTTTCAGGACAGGAGGGGTTTCATCTCCTGGCTGTGCTCAAGAGCACCAGTGTCACACTGCACAGTGCTCAGTGTCACACTGCCATGGCTCCTGCTGTCCCCTGGGCTTTGGTCTGGCTCGTGGGCAGAAGAAGAGGGCCGTGTCTGGCAGCTTCATTCCTGCACATAAGCCCACATAATGTGGTGTGGTGAGCATTGAGGGAATGTCCTCTCTGGGGTAACTCCTTCCACAGAGAATTCTCGAGGGCGAGTCCTTGGTGCAGGACATGTACTGTGCCTGCAAATTGTGGTTTTATAAAGTGCTTTCAAACCAACTGCTTTTTTTCAAGTTAACATAGTCCCAGTGGATGGTTCTTCTTCCCAGGGCTGCAAAACCAGGTTGTTTCCACCCAAAAAAATGTGACAGGCACCCTCCCCTCCTATAATCCGAGTCCTGTCCAAAGAGATGAGCCTGATGTTCACCATCTGCAGCCAGAGTAGCCTCCCTCAGTTCTCCACCTTGCCTAGCTGGGGCAAGCACCCAGGAGAGGCCTGAACTTGTCTGTGACCAGTTTGTCCTGCATATCTTGTTTAATAGCCCCTGGTTTGAATTGTAGCCAGTGACCACTTTCACCAGCTGCTGTGATATTTTTTGCCTCCTTTCTAAAGAACATTTCTGAAGCTGCCTTATTGTTATGGCTAGAAACTCCCACGGGCTCAGCAGGAAGCTGCAGATAAGTATTGTGGCTCACTGCTGACCAGAGGCTGTGAAAGCAGAGACCCTGAGGTTCAGCAAAAAGCAGCGTCATCTATTTTTTGGTTATCATTTTGTCCTGTTGCTGCCCAACAAATGCATCCTCTTTCCCTTTCAGCAAATCTCTACATACATCACCGTTCCCCCATCACCTTTGATCCAGACCCTGGTGCAGGGGAACATCTTGGTCAGTGATGAGGTGCTGATGTCAGCCATGTCTGTTTTCACCTCCTTGGACCAGCCCATGCCAGCGGTGCAGCCCCCGGTGCAGGTAAGGGGCACGTGTGGGCCCAGGGAGTCTTGCTTAAAGCTCATCCAGCTCCAGCTCCCTGCATGGGCAGGGCCACCTTCCACTAGACCAGGCTGCTTCAAGCCCTGGCCTTGGACACTTCCAGGAGTGCTGTCCAGGTGGCTTTTAGGGTTGCAAGTGCTCATGGCCAGGTCATGTTGTTCTTCTCATCCACCAACACCCTCAAATCCTTTTCCTCTCAGGGCTGCTCTCAGTCCATTCTCCCCCAGCCTGTACTTGTGCCTGGGATTGCCCTGACTCAAGTGCAGCACTTTGCTCTTGGCCTTGTTGAACTTCATGAGGTTCACACCTCTCAAGACTCTCCAGATCCCTCTGGGTGCCCTGTGCCTTCCTCCAGTGTGTCAAGCACACCCCACACTTTGGCGTCATTGGCAAAACCTGCTTGTTGCTGGCTGATCAAATCTTTGTAATGTGGTCTCTCCAGTTTTTGTTGAGGCCCCATATAATATTTGGCTTCCAGACCTTGTCAGTTTGTTCCAGGGATTCCCTTCCTCCTGTCAGTTGGGCTCTCCCCAGGCTGTCTACACTCTCCATGGCTCTGAAAATGTTCCTTGTAACTGGAAGGATTAAAAGCTTTAAAAACAAAGCAGTAAAAGCACCTGGATTTTGGAGGAGACAATATCTACCTGCAGGTCATGCCAAGCCTCCAGCACAGTCTGCTCCACCCTGGAGCTGGACACGCTGCGTTTGTTGTGTTGTGACATCAGCAGGTGCTGTTTTGAACTGGGATTGGGAATTGTGTGTGAGGGAGCGGCCCCTTTAGCTCCTGACTGCTGCATTTTCAAGGTGCTGTGTGTCTCTCCCTGTCTGGTTGCAGAGCAGCATGAGTATGCACGCTGGGGCTGGGTACCTGTCCCAGCCGCCCCCGCCGCCGCCTCCCCCGCCACCGCCGCCTCCTCAGCCCCCGCCGCCTCCCCCGCCCAGCCTGGGGGCTCCAGGGCAGCCTGGGGGCACTGCTGGCGTGGTGGAAGTGTACAGTGCCCCTCCTCCCATGGCACCAGCCAGCACGGTGGAGATCCAGACGCTGGGCATGCAGCCCTACCCGCCCATGGAGGTAAGGCTGCCCCTGGGGCTCTGTCCTCTTCTGACCAGCAAGGCTGCTTGGGAGTCACCTGGGCTAGAAATGAGCTGGAAGGACCTTAAGTCGCATCTCATTCTACCTCCTGCCATTGGGCAGGGACACCTTCCACTAGACCAGGTTGCTCCAAGCCCCATCCAACCTGGCCTTTGGGAATGTGGAATTAGAGTGTGGGAACATGTGGTAGGTTATTTGACAGTGTTTGTTTCCTCTGGGAGAAGGTACCAAACAGAAGGGTGTCAGCAAGATGATGAGGATTCTAAGGAGAAACAGCTAAGATGGACAGAGACTTGGCCAGCACAGGCTTAGGAGAGCTGAGTGTTTGCTGTGGTTGAAGAATACCTGCAGGTGTTGGGAGTGAGGGGGAGCTGAGAGGAGCAATCTCACCTTCCAGAGAGGTACAGAGCACCACCCTGCACACTGCAGGCTTATGTGGAGAGAAGAATTCAGCCTAAATCTCAATGAGCTTGGCAAGGTGGCTTTTCCTAAAGAAAGGCACAGGCATGGTGGTGCCTTGGTGGTCAGCTGTTTGCAGTCTCCACATTTGTATTGCCATTCACAACAGAAACTACTGGGTGTGGCTGAGGTTTGGCATCCTTATCTTTGTAGCTGGCATCTGGTCTGGAAGTGCCAGTGGTCAGAAGTGGATGGGGATGTTGGATATGTAGTAATCTGTGTTAATTTATCAGGGTGGGCAGCAGGAACACTCTCAAACCACATCACCCCAGACTGATGCCTCTAAGTGTCCTTTTCTAACCTCGGTGCTGACGCAAACAGTTGTGCTTTGCCACCTGGAGTTTCCTTGTGCCTTCCTTTCCTTATTCAGTCCTGCCAGGGCAGGCAGCAGGGTCTGGAAATGCATGTCTGGGGTCACTGGAGATCCGTGCCACTGAGTCAGCAGTAATCCTGGTAACCTGCTCCAAGGGATAAGAAGCTCTTATAGATGAGGTACTAGACAGCTCATTCCAAGTGTTTCTTTGCTGTACTGTTCCTGCTGTAATAACTGCTGGATGCTTTTTGATGTTCAGCAGGAACACTGTGCAAGGTGTTACCTTTGTTGGACTGGTGAACTGGAAACTTGATCCAGTTTGGCAGAGGGCAGGAAACTCAACCAGATTAATAGCCTGGTGTTGCCGGAGATGGAGGCTGGGGCACAGGATAATTCCGTGTAGCAAACCTGTCCCAGTGATGAATTTCCCTGTCACAGGTACCAAGCCAGTGTGTGGAAAGTCCCGTGTACCCCTCTCCCCCCGTGTACAGCCCTGGGAAGCAGGGGTTCAAGTCCGAGAGCACCAGTGCTCCCATCGCCCTGACCAGCACAGGAGGAGGCCCCGTGGTTGGTTTTGATTCCCCCAGTGCTGCTGCCAAAACTCGCCGCTGCAAAAACGAGAGCGGGCTGCAGGAAGGTGAGTGTCCTCACAGCACCTGCCCTGCACTCACCCTGCCTGGCCTGGAGGGGCTGCTGAGCCACGGGCTCTCCAGGCCCCGAGGGTGGCACTGGCTGTGCAGGTGGGAGGGAGGAACAGGATTCCCTGCACGAAACTGCCAAAAGCAGCTCCAAGTGTGGATGTGCTTCTTGCCTGTCCCCTGTGTGCACGTGGAAGGACTGTCACTGTGCTGCTGCATGGGCAAACCTGTGCCAAGTCTCTGCAGCTGTGAGGTTACTGCATCACACCTGAAGCGGGCACATCTGCCAAGGAAGGTGTTAAGAGCTCATTTTACCCTGAGAGGACTGTCCAGCCACAGGGCTGGTGGGCTGGATGTGGCCTGGCTCTGGACACTCTTTTTAAGGGTTCAGCAGGCCCATCCCTGCTCTGTGCTTCAATGAAGAAAACACAGCTGTGGCCAGGTGAGGCAGGACAGGAGTGTGCCCTGTCACAGGATGGAGGAGCCCCAGAGCCAAGGCTGACCTGTAGCACAGCTGGCTGGGTGACACAGGAGCTCCCAGGTGTGAGGTGGAGGAAAGGCACGTGGCCTTTGTCCCCAGGAAGGCTGGGCCTCTGGAGTTACAGCCATACAGATCCTAGGGTTTAACCTTGTTTGCAGAGGTGAGAATGGCCATGCATGCTGCAGTTGTCAGTCCAGAATTCCTAGAGCAGCCCACGGTTCTGCTGTTCCCTGTTGGTTTAGACCCCATCAGAGTAGATAGAAGATGTGACTGACTGACCTTCTGGAAGGGAGGAATGTGCATGTGCTCTGGCTGATGGCTGACCTGGTGAGTTCACAGCAGACACAGAGCTGGGGCCCTTCCTCTCTCTCATCCTGTGTCTTTTTCCAATGCCCAACATGCCTTTAAAGTAGGTGCTCTGTAGCACAGCTGGAAGGGTCCCTGGAAAGGGAGAGGTTAATGCCTGAGGGGGATGCCCTGCCCACCAGACTACACTCCTCAGTGCTACTAGAGTTGGCTCAGGCTATGTTAAATGTATGCTTGTGCCCATAACCTCTCCCTGGTCTGGCCAGGCAGATCTTACCTTTCCCTAAGCCCTTGCTTGGTCCTGAGTAGTCATGCCTTGGGGTGAGAGCCCTGTGACACAGTGGGGACAGGGCTGTGCCACGTGGTCTCATTCTTGGCTTTGCTCTTGCTTTCAGGTAAGCCCAAGTCCCCCAAGCTGAAATGCACTTACTGTGACAAGGCCTTCACCAAGAACTTCGACCTGCAGCAGCACATCAGAAGGTAACAGTGCCACTGACCTGGGCACAGCAGGGTGGCTGGGATGGACCTGGGCACAGCTCTGCTGAGGGAGTCTGTGCAGTCCAGCTTTTCATGCCCCAGAATCTGTGCTGCATGAGGGGATTCTTCATCCCTCTCATTCCAGGACACCTCCCCAGTGACTGGGGTGAAGGCTTCATCGTGGATGTAATCTTCATGCTGATGATGTGGTGGGACTGGGGACTTGTTTTCCTCACTGATGAGACTTTGACAGCCAAACCTCTTGTCACCTGATTACTGGAGCAGCAGCATCTCCAGTGCTTGCCTCTGCCCTTCCCTTTCCTCTGCCTCCCTAGCAAGCTGTAGCCTTCGTGTTTGGTGTTTGCTGGCGTTAGCAAACAAAGCCAAGCTCAGTGTTTATACAGGCAGCTCTTACAAGAGAGCTCTTCTTTGGCAGGAGGCAGGTGAAATCTTCAGTTTCCCCCAGCAGAGTCTGCTGGACTCAGAACAGATGAGAGGGAACAAGTGGTGGGCTTGTGCCCCTCTCCAGCCTCTACTCTTCACGTGAGGTACTGCACGGGTTAGAGTCCACTCTTTCTCCTGAAGCAGAAGGGCAGGGTGGAAAGACCTTTCTGCCCTGGACAGGGGAGAGCAAAGTCAGGGAGATGAGATGTCTGCAAGCTAGAAGAGACATGTGCAGGGGAAGGAAGGGTGGCAGGGAAGGAAAGGCTTCTACCCCCAAGAAAGTCGATGGGGATCCCCAAGATCTGTGCAGAGACCCTGACACTGAATGCCCTGATGTTGCTGCAGAGCTGTTTTCCCACTTCTTTCTTTGACCCCTTGTCATCCCCAGCCTGGGGGCTGCCTCCTGTCTCCACCAGCTGCTGATTTGGTGCCTTCTGCTTTCAGCCACACAGGTGAGAAGCCCTTCCAGTGCATCGTGTGTGGCCGAGCCTTTGCCCAGAAGTCCAACGTGAAGAAGCACATGCAGACCCACAAAGTGTGGCCTCCAGGGCTGGGCTGCACCATCTCCCGCAACTCCATCACAGTGCAGGTCATGGCCTTGAACCCCAACCAGCCAGAGGACGAGGAGAACACAGGTTTGCTGTCTGGGGGTGGCATGGGCATGGGGCAGGGCAGTGATGTGAGCAGGCTGCAGGTCCCTGCACCCCCACACAGGGAGGGAGGGTCGGTGGGAGGTGTGTGTGCTGTTTGCAGTCCTGGGTGGAGTTTAGCAGCTCACACTAAGCAGGTTTCATTTGCTCAGCTCCAGCTGGCAGGTGCATCCTTTTGTATCCCAAAGCCATGGTGGATTCAGTGCTGGTGGAGGCAGTGACTCCAAACTCTGTGCCAGTAGGTGCATGCAGACAGGACAAGGTGTCTTCCCCTTCTCACTCCCTGGCAGGTGCATGAGCCACCCCTGACAGCTCTGGTGGTTTAAGGTAGCCCAGTGCTCTTGCTTGATTGCAACATGCATGTTGTGCCTGGGCTGGATCTGCCCCAGCAGCCACATGAAAATACCTGAGGCAGAGAAGAGCTCCTTGCTGGTGTCTGGATGCCCTCTCTGGTGGTGGCCCCAGTCCTGGGAGGGGAGGAAGGGCAGTGACAGTGTAATTTCTAAGACAAGGCCTCACTGGAACTGCTCTCTGCAGACATCATGGACTGAGCTGGCTGGGGCTTAACCTCCTGTCTCCTGCTAGAGTGGGAGTAAATCTGGCTCTGGCTCACTGGTGGAGGCCTCTTCTCTGACTGCTCCACAAAGCACAGTTATATCTGTGGAAAAAGGAAATCGGTTGAGGAGAGAAAGACAGAGTAGTCAGAGCCCTCATGTATCTCTTGACAAATTTAAAACCACCCTGTTAGTGAGGTCTGTCTTTGAAAGGCAGGAAGAGCCTGGCCTGGCTCTCAGAGCAGCCTTCAGAGCTGTCTCATGGCAGGGTGCGACTTTCTCCCCTTCTGCAGGTTTGCCTCAGCCCTCAAGGAACCCCGTGCCACCGCCCCAAGAGCTGAGCCCCTTGGAGGACAGCGAGGCAGGCAAGCTGGAGGCCAAGCAGGTTGTCCTGATCGACAGCTCTTACCAGTGCCAGTTCTGCCCCAGCAAGTTCAACACCTATTTCCAGCTCAAATCACACATGACACAGCACAAGAATGAGCAGGTAGGGACAGATGGGGTGCCCTGTGGGGGTGGTGGGATTGGGATGGGCATCATATAGTGCACCAGGGTCTGTCTTGAGCCTCTTGGTCTGTAAAGCTGTCAGTGCTTCCTATGCAGCTCAGCCCTCAGGGTTGTAGCTGTGTGGTCTGGACAGCTTTGAAAAGCTCCTCTGCTTCCACCCTGCTCAGTGAGAAGTCAACTGAGCAGGTTTGGGTGGCTGGAAAAGAAGCAGAGAAGTGAAGTCTGTCCAGTTCTGGGCCCCTCACGTCAAGAAAGACATAAAGGGGCTGGAGCATGTCCAGAGAAGGGCAGTGATGCTGGGGAAGGGTCTGGAGAGTCAGTCATATGAGGAGTGGCTGAGGGAGCTGGGGGAGCTCAGCCTGGAGAAAAGGAGGTGGAATGGTGGAGTTGCCATCCCTGAAAGTGTTCAGCAAACAACTGGGCCTGACACTTGGTGCTGTGGTTTAGTTGATGAGGTGGTGATCTGTCAGAGGTTGGACTCGATGGTCTTGGAGGTCTTTTCCAACCTTACTGATTCGATGACTCTGTGAAGTCCAGAGTTCTCAGTGTAGGTGCTCGTGGATGGTCACCAGTGGGGTGTTGTGGTCTCACCCATCTGAGTGGTTTCAGGCCCTCACACCAACACCCCTCTGTCCCACCTTGCTTTCTCAGGGGAGTGCCCTGACAGTCCGTATTTCTTCCCCAAAAGGAAGGCCACTCTGCCTGTTGGCAGAGGTTTCTCCCTGGCTGTTTCCATGGCGTGCTGCTCCAGCTGCTCTCCCTTCTCCCAGGTGTACAAGTGTGTGGTGAAGACCTGCGCTCAGACCTTCCAGAAGCTGGAGTCCTTCCTTGAGCACATCAAGAGCCACCAGGAGGAGCTGAGCTACCGCTGCCACCTCTGCAGCAAGGACTTCCCCTCCCTGTACGAGCTGGGCGTCCACCAGTACTCCCACAGCCTGCTGCCCCAGCACAGCCCCAAGAAGGACGTGGCCGTGTACAAGTACAGTAGCAATCGGTGCTCACAAGGCTTGTAGGAGTGAGTGGGTGCAGAGAGTGTTTGGTGGGGACCTTAGAGGGAAGAGGGGGCCCTGTGTGATTTGTGGCTGTGGTTCCTTTGGGCACCCAGATGGCAAATGGGGGGCCCCTCCACCTGGCTGCTAGGGCCAAGCACTTGGAATGGGTGGCCACCTTGGTATCCTGGCCTGGCTCAGGATCAGTGGCAGCAGGAGCAGGGGGTGATTCTTGCCCTGCACTCAGCGCTGGGGAGGCCACCTCTGGAGTGCTGTGTCCAGCTCTGGCAAGCCCCTTCTCAGCCTGTTTTCTGTGATTCTTCAACACCTACAGCAAAAGGAGTGTGGGCTGTAGAAGCTGTGCCCCCAAAAAATCTCCTATCGTTTGCTGCAAAAGTGTCTGTTCTCTGGAAAACAATTCTACTACTACAGGGAGAAAGGGTGAGAAGTCGTACAAAAAACGCCCTGGAACTTTTGAAATGCCTGTAGAGATGTTCAGGAAGACTAGGAAGCCCAGAAGATACTGAGGTCACCTAGGAGCTTCATGGAATAAATACCTGCTACTTCTTGCATAGTCCATGGTTTCTAGTTATCCTTGCACTGGGGAGTTTCATCCTGCAGCTTGCTAGTGGGGATCCTCGAGATCAGAGCCCTGCTTATGTTTGAGGGTGTGTTTAGTCTGACCTAAGGAGAAGGGGTTTCCCAGCAGGTACACCTGGTGAGTGCCTCTGTTCCCATGGCTGGTGGTGCTTCTCCCCAGTGCCCACTATCCATCAGCTTTGGCAGAGCTCTCCAGCTGAAATACTGCCAGGATTTGTCAGCCCTGTCATCCTGTACCCTCACCCTCAGCTCCTTCACCGGAGCAATAACGACAGAAGCAGTGAAGGTGGAAGGAGGTGTTTTGAGTAGGGTGAAGTCCACGAGGAAGCAGTGTGGAATATGTGCCCATGGCAGTCTGTGTGGAAGAGCACTGGAATTCAAAGGCACCCAGTTTTGCAGCATCTCCCCCTCTGAAGGGTGCTGAGTGTGAGTGTGAGCTGGCATGTGGGTTGCTGAGGTTTCAGCAAAACCTGAGAGATTATTTTCTGTGCCAAACCAACCCTGTCAGAGATCACCCTAGCAGGTGGCTGGGCTGGGCTGGGCTGGGCTGGGCAGGTCTGCCTGTGGTGTGGAGTTTGCTGAGCAGCCTTGCTCACAGGCTCTGTCCTTTCTCTCCCCATCCAGGTGTGTGAAGTGTGTCAATAAATACTCCACCCCAGAAGCCCTGGAGCACCACCTGCAGACAGCAACACACAACTTCCCCTGCCCTCACTGCCAGAAGGTGGGTGGGTGATCCCTCCCCGAGCCAGGCCTGGACACCTGGCAGGGGCTCTCAGGAACCTCAGCTCCCTTTTTCTCCCTTTCCACCTCAGTGTGGACTGGCAGGTGCCCACAAGCTGCTTTCCAGAGGGACAGAGGTGGTTGCACCCTTGGCCTCTCGGGCCTCACACAGAGTATGTTCCTCCCTGCAGTGCTGGCTTTTCTCCTGGCTCCTGTTCACTGAACAGGATTTGTCAGGGCAGCTCCCTTATTCCCACAGCAACACAGCACTGCACACTAGGCTGCTGTCCTTACCTCTTAAAAGCAAGTGTACGAGGAGGAGGAAGGATGGTTTTGGGAAGTCACTGACCCACCATTCCGGGCTACATCTGGCTGGAAGGGTTGGGCACGGAAAGCTCCAAGTCCTGTGGGAGCTCCTCCACCTCCATTGCTGTCCTCATCTGTTGCCACTCAAGCCTCTGAGTTCTCCCTCGTTGCTCTCTTTTGGATGAGTGCTCTGTGTCCTTGGCAAAGAGAAACCTGTCTGAGTGACGGGACTGGGAGCAGAACGATGCCTGAGTAGGTTTTGGTTGGAAATACTCTCATCAGCACAGCCCCTGAGGGGGTTTGAGGGGCAGAGCTTTGTGGGGTTTGGATTCTGATAAATTATTTTTTGAAATCCGGACTAAAATTTGGACCCTTGCTCCTCTGTTTATAGCAAAGGAAATGAAAATCCTGCAGTGGGGGCAGGGACAGTCTCAAAGGAGTGACCACTCTGTACTGAGGTAGCTCAGGAAGGGGAAACACACTCCTGCCATGGTTAGTAACCCATCTTTCTTACCTGTCTTCTCTCCACTTCCTCAACCAGCTGACAGGTGCCCTTCTGAGCCTGGGTGGGACTGTCAGGATGCAGCAGAGGGGTTTGAGAGCCCATTAGCTGCAGCAGTATTTATCACTTCTGTTTGAATTCTTACTAATATTGCTGTTTTCTAGAGATGTGAGAGCACGGTCTGGGTGCCAGAACTCCAGGTTTTCCTGTGCTCCCCTCAGGTGTGCTTGCAGCACGTTCACTAGGAATTCATTCAGCTGGCTGTTTGCAGTATCCCCAATAGCCAAAGGAGCCATTCTTCCTGGCTTTCTAAAGACCATGAATGGGAATCTTTGGTGACAGAGTATGAGGAAGCAAAAAGTGAGGTTAACTGTGTGGGAAGGTAATAATTACAGGGGGTCCTTGCCCAGCCCATCCTAGTGCTGGCTTGGCTGGGGGACTGGGCATCCCCCTGGAATGCTGGTCCTCAGCACTGTGGTGTTACCAAATTAACAGCAAGGTATCACATTATGTGCTTCTTAAGGATAAAAAAAATTTGGGGTTGGGTTTTTTTGTGTTTTGTTTTGTTTTGATTTTGTTTGGGTTTTATTTTTTTGGGAGGGTGTTTGATTTGTTTTGGGGTTTATTTGGTTTTTTTGGGGGGAGGGTTGGTTTGGTTTTTTGTTTGTTTTCTGTTTTGGGGTTTGTTTTTAGCACTGTATCTGTAATTTCCTTATACAATCCTGAAGGTTTTCTCAGCACATCCTTCCTGAGAAAGCAGTCTCCTTGAGTTTCCTGCTCATGTTGCCCAGAGAAGCTGTGGCTGGAAGTGTCCAAGGCCAGGTTGGACGGGGCTTGGACTAACCTGGGCTAGTGGAAGGTGTCCCTGCCTGTGGCAGGGGGTTGGGACTTTGGGACTGTCCAATCCTTAAGGTCCCTTCCAACCCAAGCTGTTCTGGGATTCTATGATTTTTATGTTGTCTCGACAGGCTGCCCCTCCCTTGCCAGTGCCAGCTGAGTGATGTGCTGCATGTCCTGCTGGCTCAGCCTTGTCTCTGTGTGTTCCCAGGTGTTCCCCTGTGAGAGGTACCTGCGCCGCCACATCCCCACGCACGGCGGGGGCAGCAAGTTCAAGTGCCAGATCTGCAAGAAGTTCTTCCGTCGGGAGCACTACCTCAAGCTGCACGCCCACATCCACTCGGGTACAGCTCCCCACAGCTCCCAGTGCTTGCCCTCTCTGTGCCAGTGGCTGCCCTGTTGCCCCTGGCTCTTTTCCTGATAACGGGGATAACTCTGAGTCATCTGTAGTAACGTGAGTTCAGGATGTGTGTGGTTTTGCTTCAGCCTCGTGCCCAGTACTGCCCCAGTTAGAAGTGGGACACACAGGTGGCTTCCCCTGATGCCTGAAAGTAGGAGAAATAATTCTCTGGACTATTTTTGCGTATTAAAAGGCAAAAAGCACTCCTTTACTGTGATGCTGAGGGGGCACAGGAATATTTTGCACACACCTGAGTTGCATGGGCTTTACAAGTTTATACTATCATCTAATTACAATATTCAGGTCTTAATTACAATATTTGGACATTACCTCATCTGCTACACCCACTTCCAAAACTGTCCCTCCCATAGCACTGCCCTCACCATGCCCCTGATGGGCCTCCTGAATCTGAGTCGGAGGTCCCAAAAAGACCCCATTTTCATCTTCTCTTCCTCATCTCTTTTGACACAGTGTTGTGCCTTCTGGAGCGGTTTCAGGGCTTCTGAGTAGCTTTGACTGGTTATATCAGGTGTTACATCCCTTTCTCAGTACATTTTCACAGATAGAAAAAAACCCTTTACCTCATTCTGTTGAAGCTCTTAACAAAGAACAATAAAAGAGCGTTTTAGGAATTTTGTACAAAGGCAGTAACAAGCTATACTAGAAACTTATATAGGTTTTATGGCTACAACTCCTTCCTGTGGTTGCAGAACTAAGCAATTAGACCCTGGAGAGCAGGAACAATCTGAAGCATGGATTGTACCCGTTGGGCAGGGAAGTTTATATTGGGCACAGCCACTGTGGTGGATCCCGTCCGTGTCTGGAGCAGCTCTGTGTGTCTGTCCCTGACTCTCGGCCTCTCTGTTGCCCAGGTGAGAAGCCCTTCAAGTGCTCAGTGTGCGAGGCCGCCTTCAATCGCAAGGACAAGCTCAAGCGGCACATGCTGATCCACGAGCCCTTCAAGAAATACAAATGTCCTTTCTCGTACGTAAAGCGTCTCTGGCGGGGCTGGGACAGGGCTTGGGATGGAAGGAATGCCTCCTGTGGGCACCCCAGGGTACACTGAGGCACCTGCCAGCCCTCTGCTTCTTGGGGAGGTGGGAGTGCTCCGTGCTTCTGACCTGGGAACCCGGGAGTTCTTTGTCACTGTCGTGCTGTGGGATCACATCGTTTCATCCCAGTTCATCAGCCCTGCCAAATAACTCCTGCCCTCATGGGAAGCTTTGGGGAGCACCGGGGCAGAGAAGGAGCATTACTGACCATGGAGCACAGGGGTGCCTGAATGATGGGCTGTCCCCAGCTGCCATTTCTCCAAAGGCACCTGGCACTATGGAATCTAAGATGTGAGCCAGAAAACCCCAGGTTTGGAAGGTACACCTCCAAATCCATGGCACAGCCACGGGCCTTCTGGGATAGCCAAGGCTGGGCAGCTTCTCCCTGCTCCAGCCACCTTGTAGCTCTTTCCAGAAGTACTTCTGTCTCCAGCTGGGATCTTGAACCTGCTGGCTTTTAGGAGCATTTATAGTGAGACACAGACCATGTGAAATAGAGGAAAAGCCATGTGTCCCTGTAGCAGCCTGCTTATTCTTTGTTCCTCCCCAGAAAGGCTGGGAGCTGAGCTCCCAGGCTGCTGAGGGAGCCATCCAGGTGCTGTTAAGGAGAAGGGTCCTGGATCTGTTTCTGGTCCAGGATGTGTTTGCACATCGATCCCTGGCTCATTCATGCTGCTCACCAGCATTTGTTGTTGTTACAGAAGCCACACAGGCTGCAATAAAGAGTTCAACAGGCCTGACAAGCTGAAGGCTCACATTCTGTCCCATTCAGGTAAGGGGTTGGGAATGCAGTGACTGGGATTTGCTGTGGTGCTGCAGGAGCATGTGATGGAAGGAGTCAGCCTGAGAAAGAAGAATAAATAATTAGCTTTAGATTTGTTTCTTCTCTATGTTGCTGCAGGCCTGTTTAAGTAAGCTTGTATTTAGGATTGTGTCTAAGCTTTGGGTTGTTTTCTAAGACAATATGTAGGCAGGGCCTGCTGGTGAAACTCTGCAGAAGAGCTGATTGCTCAGTGTGTTTGCTATCAAATCAATATCCAGAGTGCTCTGTCCACTCCTCCCCAGTCCTATCTCACATGCCAAAGGATTTGGATTTGATACCTTTCTCTCTGTTCCAAAAATGATGCCTCCATTGCTAGTAAAGACAAATAATTTATTCTTGTGCCCTAGGGAATATTCAGACTTTTGTTTCTTGGGGTAACACTGGAAGTTTTTCCTTGTGCCCAAGAGTGGGATTAGATGGGATGTGCTGACAGTGCACTTATGGGTTGTTTCAGAGTGCACATTCCCATATTTTGGAAGGAAAAGAAGTAAAAATTTCTTTACTTACCAAATACACTTGGAAAAAAATAATATTTTAAGGTTGTTTTGCATTTTTATCACAATTACCTGACATGTTTTTCTGGTATTTTAATCCTCTTCTTTGGGGCAAGAATACTCTCTACAACTCCCTGACACAGGAGGGTGTAGGCAGGTGGGGGTCGGTCTTTTCTCCTAGGAACCAGCAGTAGGGCAAGAGGGCACAGCTTAAGCTGTGCCAGGGGAGGTTTAGGCTGGACATTAGGAAGAAATTTTTTACAGAGGGAGTGCTCAGACACTGGGGTGGGCTGCCCAGGGAGGTGGTGGATTCACCATCCCTGGAGGTGTTTAAGAAGAGACTGGGCATGGCTCTTAGTGCCATGGTTTAGTAGGCCAGGTGGTGTTGGGTCATAGGTTGGACTTGGTGCTCTCGGAGGTCTTTTCCAACCCGGTTGATTTTGTGATTCTGTGAATATTTTATTTGCAGTCAGCAGCTTCCTCCAGAGACAGAGATCAGGGGCAGCACTGATCTCTGTCTCTGTGAGCAGTGACAGGACCCAAGGGAAAAGCTGGAGCTGTGTTAGGGCAGGGTTCAGGTTGGATCTCAGGGAAAGGTCCTTGCCCCAGAGGGTGGCTGGCACTGAACAGGCTCCCCAGGGCAGTGGGCACAGCCCCAAGGCTGCCAGAGCTCCAGGAGGGTTTGGACAACGCTCTGAGGGACAGGGTGGGATTGTTGGGGTGTCTGTGCAGGGCCAGGAGTTGGACTGGATGATCCCTGTGGGTCCCTTCCAGCTCAGGATATTCCCTGGTTCTACAAACAATAATTAAACACAGCCAGTTAAGCTGTAGCCACCCACCCTTTCCTGCCTGCGAATTCTCCTGGCCCAACATCTCCTCCCGTTCTCCGGGGAACATCTCCTTGGTGAAGCTGTCACGCTCTGTCCACGGTGGGACGGGTGGGTGTCTAACCCAGCTCTGTCCTGTGCAGGGATGAAGATCCACAAGTGCCAGTACTGTAACAAGTCCTTCAGCCGCCGCGCCCACATGGTGGAGCACCAGCGCTCGCACACCGGCAACTACAAGTACCGCTGCCCCACCTGCAGCAAGGGCTTCACGCGCCACAAGTACATGAAGGACCACAAGTGCCGGCTGGGCTCGCCCAAGGACAAGGACCTGCAGCTCAGGAAGCCCCAGAAGAAGCGGGTGGCGCGGGGGGGGCGCAAGGCGGGCCTGGCCCTGCCCGGGCTGGCCGAGCTGAAGGACGGCGGCGCTGCCGGGGAGAGCCCCCCCGAGGGGGTCCCCGACAAAGAGCCCTTCCAGGAGCCGGACACCATCCTCTCCATCGTGGTGGGGGAGTCGGGAGCTGCTGACTCTGACCTGGTCGCTGGGCAGCCCAGCAGCATGGCACCCAACCTGGCCCTGGCAGAGCTGCAGGCGGGCTCGGACGGGCCCTGTGCCATGCTGGCTGTCCCTGTGTACATCCAGACCACGGAGTGACCGTGCCCAGAGCCACTGTGTGGCTGCTGGACTCGGTGCTCAAATCCATCCCAGTGTGAAAGACCAAAGCTCTGGTGGGGGAGGTAGATGGATATGGGAGAGGATGGCTTTCATCTCCACTGGTTCTTCCCATCCTTGAGCAGAGGACTGCTTGGAAGCCACCGGCGGCCACGAGGCGCTCAAGAGGGTGGCTGTATTATTTCTTGTCCCTCTGCATCACTGGTCTGCTTAGGGCAAGAAAGACAAAGATCCCTGAATCAGGGTAAGAAGAAGGAGCGTGCGAACTTGCAACAAACAGAGCTGCTGAAATCAGGTGGCTTTGCAAATCACAGCCTGTCCCATCTGTGGTTTTTCTGGCCTAAAACCTGTATTGCCCAGTATTTGGGTGGCCCTTCTGAGAGCAAGCAATTGATCCTTCCTAGTGGAAGCGAGTTCATCCTGAGATCCTTTGGGAACACTGTTCAGAAACACCCTGGTAGACTTGTGTCTGGTATCTTCTCTCTGTCTCTCTCAGTAGAAAGATCACCGTGTCTGTACCACATGAGTTATAAACACCCTGGACCTCACGTGCCCTGTGGAGTCTGTGTGGGAGCACATGTGTGTGTTGGCTCTTCTCTCTGGTTGCTCTTCTCTCCACAGTGTTTTGTTCATGGTTTGTCCCCATATCCAAGGATCTCTGAGTGCCTTTAGGCATCAGTGAGCCAATCCCTGTGAACAGTGGGCTGGGTGAGGTGACCTGTCCAGAGTCTCACAGGAAAGCTGTGATGCATCCAGGAGCTGGTGTTCCAGCATCAGCTCTGGGCCAGGCGCTACAAAGAAGCTCTGTCAGCTGCTTCCCAGCCTCCACCTTCCCTTAGCTCAGTCCTGTGGGCCAGTTGTCAGCAGTTTCACTGGGAAGTTGGTGTGGTTAGACAGCAAGAAAGTGGTGTGGCTGGGACAGTTCTCTTGTCCACTGGGATTCTTCTCTGGTTTCCCAAGTAGGAGTCCCAAAGTCCCACTGCCCTGCCAGGCTCCTCCTGTCCTGCCCTCAGCCTCCATTTTTAGGCTGCCACAGGATGCACTGGGTATTGGGGAAGGGAACTTGACCCAGACCTGCACATTTCTGCTGCCTCCAGGTCCTCCTGGGATGTGTGTCCCATGCTCTGCCCTCACATGCTTTCTCCCTGCTCTGTGTGGAGCTGAGCTGAGCTGGGCTTTGCCTGCTCAGTCTGTGTAATGAGCTGCTCAGCTGTCTGTGGGTGCAAAGTGCTGTATTTCCAGCCCAGGTTCAGTCTGTCCTGGGTACTGAAATGCTGGCTGTGGAATCCCAGCCTTCCTCTCTGGGAGCTGATGGGTGTTTGGCCACTGGAGCCAACTGGGCTGACTGGGCTGATCCTGCAGCCTGCCTGAGCTCCAGCCCTTGCTTGACCTCAGGGTGCTTTTCCTGTCTCCTTGCTTAAATCTCAAAAACTTTAAATCTTAAAAATAGCAGCTTGCAGAGGGCAGTGTCCATCTTGTATCTCCTGGTGTTCCTGTGCCCCCAGGCTGTGCTGTCTAATGATGGTTTCACTGTCGCTCCTGGGACACTGTCACACAGTTCCTGTCAGGATGGGTTCTGCCAGCACTTCACTCCCTCACTTTCCTAACTCATTTTTTTGCTCATTTGACATTTTTTGTGGTGTTTCTGCACCTCCAGCTGCTGTTGGTGGTGTGAGGAAATGGAGCTCAGGGCTTACAGGAGGAGGCTGGAGAAGGAGTTGTTGAGGGTTTACAAGAGGTTAAGGAGAGGTCTTGCTGCTGCCTCACAGGACGGGTGGTGAAGGTGGAGCCAAGCCCCAGAGGTGCACAGGGATGGACCAGAGGTGACAGGGGCACGTTGGAATGTGGCAACTTCCAGTACCTAAAGGAGCTTACAAGAAAGCTGGAGAGGGACTTCTCGTAAAGGCTTGGAGTGACAGGACAAGGAGGAATGGCCTTAAGCAGAAGGAGGATAGGGTTAGATGGGATATTGGGAAGAAATCCTTCCCTGTGAGGGCAGTGAGGCCCTGGCACAGGCTGCCCAGAGAAGCTGTGGCTGCCCCATCCCTGGAAGTGTCCAAGGCCAGGTTGGAAGCCACCTGGGCTAGTGGAAGGTATCCCTGCCCATGGCAGGGGTTGGAATGGGATGATTTTTGGGATCCCTTCCAACCCAGACCATTCCACGTTTCCATGATTCTAACTTCTGATTTGACATAAAGAAACGCCCACCATGGGTGGTCAAAGGAAGGAGAGGCCGTGAGACCCCACAACCAAACTGGTCAGAGCATCCTGCTCCAAGCAGGCGTGCTTGGGAAGAGGTGCCTGGGCTGGGGACATCCAGGTGGCCCTTCCTGCTTGGGTGTGTCTGTGCTGCCGTGAAACCTCCTGCCTGCTTTGAAGGGCAGAGTTTATTTACCCACAGTGTTTGTTTTAAACACTCAGCTCTCCCACGAGGGGAACAGTATCGGGAAATAGTTTGCTAAATATACTTTTCCTATTGCCCTTCCCTCTGTACGTGTCATTATGTGGTCTCTGCAGTCGGGTTTGTTTTGGAATAACGATTGTGGCACTGTCTGGAGGCCTGGCCTTCCCTTCCCAAATCCTGCTTTCCCCCAGCTCAGCACAGGCTCAGTGGGATGCTGGAACCTGGTGTGCAGTGGCTGCACCAGTGTAATTCAGGGGGTGGGAGCAGAGCCACAGAAATGCCAGTATGTCACTGCTGAGGAATACAAGACTGGGAAGTTTCCTTAACATGACTGTGGGACTCAGAGATGCCACCCTGGCTGCTTGATACGTTGTTTGCATGTGGGGTGGTGTTGAACCCAAACAAGCGATTGTCCTCATAGAGTAAACCTTGCTCTGATCTCCCTCCCTGTCCCAGTCTTGTCCAGCTGCTTCAGCTCCTGCAAACCTGGCATGAGCTGAGATACCTACAAGCTCTTCTATTCCCTGCAGGGAAGAATTCTGCACAGGATTTCCCTCCCTGTTTCTGCTTCCCTGGCAGAGCCCTGCCCACTGCTCAGCTCAGTGTGGGCCGAGGTTGGATCAAAGCTGCTCAGAGCACTGCTTTCCCCCCCAGCACCTTTCCACAGGGCTGGTTCCATTCTGTGTCCTGGGAACAACTGTTTTCTTTACAAACCCACCAGCAGAAGCATCTTGGCACTTTCTGGAAGTTCCAGAGCCAAAGCCATCCCCTGGGAGCACTGGTGGAGCAGAACAGAGATCTTTGGTGCTCGCTGGCAGCAGATGCTTGTGTGGGAGGGAGAAATAAGCAGGTAAAAGCTCCTCCCTTCCCCTGCTCAGCCACCCGTGTTGTCAGCTGGGAGTTTTCTTGTCCTGGCAGTGATTCCATCAGCGTCAGTGCAATTTTCCTGGGTATTTGCCTTTCCCACCTATCTGTCTTTCATATATATTCTTACATATCTGTCACCTATGACAGCATTACCAAGGTGGGCCAAGGCAGGAGTCCTTACACAGCTCTGCTCCTGAACTCCCACCTGGTGCGTGGGAAGCTCCTTGTGTTTCCCAGTGCTGTGCTCTCCCCTCTTCCTCCTGCCTGGGGAAACCTCTGTTGCCCGGCAAGCATTTGTTTGGTTCATTTTTGCTCTTTTCCCCATGGTGTGCATATCCCAGCCTGTTCTACAGAGCACCAACTACTCCAGAGCAGTGATAGATTTCCTTGGGCCGTTTCCAGTGGCAAACACTGTTATTGTCCGAGTCTGTTACTAATTAACTTGTTTTCACAACCCCGCTGCGCCTGGAGATGGAGTTTATCGCTCTCCCAGGTGGTTGAGGCCAAGCACAAAGGGGCAGAATTCAAAAGTGTCCAGGAAAGGTTGGCACCGGATGACTCCATTTTCTCCTGGGACTTTGTCCGTGAATACTGTGAAATTATGGATTCCAGCACGGAATTATGTCCGTGCTGCCTCCACAGCTCGGAGGGAGTGACTCAAAGTGTCCAGGAAATGAGCTCACAAATCGTCATCACCGCTGAGGCAACAGCAGAACTGCTTTGGGACAGGTGGCAAGTTAGAAAGGGAAGGTGGAAAGGATAAATGTTCCTGTACACGATCTCGACACCGGCAGGGGCTGTGCCTGAGGGGCTCACCCCGGCAGTGAGGATGGGGCTGGAGGACGGGTTTGCCCGGGAATCACACCCAGCCCGCTCCTGGCTCCCAGCCCTGGCACCGGGAAGGCTCCCACGGTCACTTCTGGATCACTTAAAGCCTGTCCAGGGAAGGGAAGGGAGCTGGGGAAGGGTCTGGAGCACCAGGAGCGGCTGAGGGAGCTGTGAGGGAGAAAAGGAGGCTCGGGGGGGACCTTCTTGCTCTCTGCAACTCCCTGGCGGGAGGGGGGAGCCAGAGGGGGCTCTGCTCTCAGGGAACAAGGGCCAGGAGGAGAGGGAACGGCCTCAAGCTGTGCCAGGGGCGGGTCAGGTTGGATATCTGGGAAAACTCCTTCCTGGAAAGGGTGGTCACGCATCGGATGGGGCTGCCCGGGGAGGTGGCGGAGTCCCCACCCCCGGAGGTGTCCCAGGAATGACTGGACGTGGCGGCACTCTGTGCTGCGGGCTGGGGGACACGGTGTGGGTGGGGCACAGGCCGGGCTGGGTGACCTTGGAGCGCTTTCCCAACCCGCTCCCGGCTCTGTCCCTGACCGGGAATGTCCCAGCCCCGCCCGGCCCTTCCTTCCCGGGCCGTGACGTCACGCCCGCTCTGACGTCACCCGCCCCGCCGCTGCCCCTTTTCCGCTCGGCGGACCCCGCCCCTCCCGGCGTGCCGCGCGCGCCGCCTCCATCTCCCGGCACGCCCCGCGCGGGGGGTGCCGGCGGCGGGCGCGGCGCGGGCGGCGCGGGGCACGCCGGGAGTTGTAGGCGGCGCGGGGGCGGCGGGGCGAGGCCAGGCGGGCGGGGCCCCGGCGGCGGCGGCGGCCTCGGGCCTCGGGTCTGGTGCGTGAGGGGAGCGGAGCGGCGGGAGCGGCACCGCAGCGGCACGGCCTCGGCCCGGCCCCGCGCAGCCATGTCGGGGCTCCTGGGGAAGCTGTTCGGCACGGGCGCCGGCGGGAAGGGCGGCGGGAAGGGCCCTTCCCCGCAGGAGGCGATCCAGCGGCTCCGCGACACGGAGGAGATGCTGAGCAAGAAGCAGGAGTTCCTGGAGAAGAAGATCGAGCAGGAGCTGGCGGCCGCCCGCAAGCACGGCACCAAGAACAAGCGCGGTGAGCGCTCGGGGGCCGGGCCGGGCCGGGCAACAGGTCGGGAGGGCCGGGGAGGGGCCTGCACGGCACAGACTCAGCCGGGCTGCCTGCCGGTAGTGCCTTTATTTCCTACTCTGGTGCCTTTATTTCCCACCCTAATGCCTTTATTTTCCACCCCACGGCCTTAATTTTCTCCCCCCAACGCCTTTATTTCCTACCTTAGTGGCTTTATTTCCCACCTTGGAGCCTGTATTTTCTACCCTAGGACCTTTATTTTTTTACCTTAATGTGTATTTCGTACCCCATTCCCTTTATTTTCTAGCCTAATACCTTTATTTCCTACCCCATTCCCTTTATTTTCTACCCTAACGCCGTCATCCTCTACCCTAATACCTTTATTTTCTACCCCAGGACCTTTTTTTTCCTACCCTAGTGCCCTTATTTTCTACCCTAATGTCCTACCTTTTGCCCTTCGATTTTTAGCGCTATTACCATTATTTTACAGGGCATTCCCCCCCTCTCCGGGGGTTTCTGCCAGGGCTGACCCCGCTGGGGAAGGGAAGGGGCAGGGGGCTGTCCCGCGTGGCTGTCGCGTCACTCCCTCGTGATTCTGAGGTCACGGCCGTGCCCGGCCCCTCCGGGGTGTTCCCTTCCCCGTCCCACGCGGGCCTCACTGCGGGGAGAGGTCAGGGAAATACCCTGGAAAAAAAAACCCAGGGCATCGCCTTGGAATCAGGGCCCTGATTTACCGCGGTGGGTTTTTTTTTTTTTTTAGTTCTAGCAGACAAAACTCTCCACCAGATCCCTGCTTAAGCGTGTGGGTTTGGTTAAATTTATGCGCCCGCTGTTGTCAGCTTTTATGGAAAGTTCTGAGTGTGTTGGGCAGACCGGTTGTGGCTTTAACGTGCTTGTTACTATTTGCTGTCCATGGGGTGAAAAGCTGCCAAAACTGCTCACCGTTAAAAGGGTTTTTTGAAAACAGGCAAGTTAACACTCCCTCTTCTGAGAAGAGCTCGGGTTGGGCTCGTGCTTTGTTTTGTCTTCTCTGGAAACGTTCATTCCTTTGAAAACGCCGTGTGTTTGGGGTTTTATCCCCACCACTCCACCCACTCCCAAGAAGCTCTTCCACACACACTCCTGAAGTTTATAAATGGATGATAGGAGTTGGTGTTTCCCTGGGCAGGTCTGGCTGCGTTTCAGGCAGTGCTTGATGTGTCTGTCAGCCTGGAGATAAGGCAGTTGTCAGGTTGCCTATTCCAGTGCTCTCGAAACAAGCCTCTTGATTGCTTTTACCACTCAAAAGCCACGTTTTCAGGGAAGCACATCCTGATTTCTGTGCGGAGTGCCCCTTTCTGTGCCGTGTAGCAGGAGGGGCTGTGCCTGTGGCACAGGGAGCTGCAAACACAACGAGCAAGGGTTAATTTGCAGCAATTACCCGTAAGAGTTTTTGTTTTGTGTCCCTGCTTCAGCCAGCACTTTAAGCCTCCTCTCGGACCCCGGGACATGGTGCTCCCTCGGGGTTTCTGCCTTCCCTGTCTGTGGGTGACAGCACAGGAGGGCTCGGGGATGTGGCCCAGGGCCCTGCTGAACGACCTCAGCAGAGCCTGACTTCAGGCTTAGCCAAGTCACTTCCAAATCAAACTTACTGCAACAGTTCTAGTGAGTTCCTGCTGAGTTTTTTGGCCTAGTTTGGTAATGAGCTTAAAAGGAGAACTAAAATTTATATATTTTTTTTTTTAACCTTCCTCGTCTTCTGCAGTTTCTTCACCTTCTGGCTGACGCTAGTCCTGTTTAACTTCCAGACTTCTCTTTCTGCTAGTTCCTGCTCAGGTCTTTGTCTCCACTGTAACACCATCCCTCCCTCTCTGCTGCCCTTCAGCACTTCGGGGAGGGGAGGGATTAAATTTCCTTGGAGGTGGAGGAAGGAGAAAAACCTGCCCATTCACCAGCGGGATTCTGGGTCACACTAATTGAGGGCTTGCAGGAGAACACGATCCTGAGGAGTAATTAAGGAACTGGGAGAGGAGGAAGGGTTGGATGGTTTTCTGGTGGAAAATGAAACCTCTTTTTTTCCATTTCTGGAAACTGTCCTTATTGGGCTGTTACTAAAAGCAGCTGATTGTTTGTGGCTCACTGGGAAGTGAGTTCCTCTCAGACACACGAAGGCACTGCTCAGTTACTCTGGGTTCAAGTTGTCTGTCACCAGCTGAGCTCCTACAAATTGCATTTTTTTTATATCCAGTCGTTTGGATATTTTCCTCTCTGACTCTAGGCTCTTTTATAATCCATAAACTTTGTGATTTTTATGCAAA